ACTTTCTGCTGTACACAGGTAAATATGGAAAGCAACAATGTAACATGGTGGCTGCTGTACTTTAACTGTCATCTGTCTTTGAATTTTGAGACTTTAAACTAAACCTAGAATGTTCTAAATCCACATTAGCGGGCATGTATTGCAAATGGACGTAGAGGAGATGGACGTTTCACACCCCAATATGTAGTATAACGAAAAGAAAGGAGATATTTCCACAATGGGATGTGCAAATGCCTCACCAATTAAAAATTTAAAAAAGAATTTATTTAATATATTATCATTGACATGATTAAAGAATATAAAAATGAAACGTATATTGGTACATTCACCACATGGTAACGATGCCACACAATTCTGGGTCACACGGTTGGTTTCCAAAGGCTACATATATACTCTTATATATCCCAACATGTTTCGCCCATCCGGGCTTCTTCAGTGGAAACGAGAAGAGATGTATATCCTAAGTGGAAGGCAGAGACCTACATGTAATAAAATTAGGGGACTGCATCTCATCATGCAACATGGTAATCATTCAAATCCTTGGTTTCAATCATATTAATTAAAATAGTATTCAAGGCTTACGTGTTTGGAATTTCTCGAATAACCAATCAGAGGCAGAGGAATGTAAAAAGTAGATAAAGAAACAACGGTTTCATTCAGTTCGAGTTCAGATAAAAGATGATTCTGTCAGGCATATACTGCCTGAGCAGGAAGGTCGCGTCAAATGAGCACACCACAGCAATCAAGCGACAAGCAGCAGCAGCAAGCGTTAGCAGGTGAGTTGTTATGATACCCTGCTAAAATGCATACAAATGATATCAATCAACCCTTGCAAGAGAAGAGAAAGAAAAAACAAAAAGGGGGGGGGGGAGAAGGGGGGGGGGGAAGGAAGGAAAGAAAGTAAGTCAATATTAATATTATCCAATGGATATTGGGATAAGGTGAAAAGAATAAGTGTGACTATATCTAGCGTATAGTATCAATATATCAAACTAAATTAATATGTTATTAATTAATGTTCGTATAAATGTGTGAGAACATAACATGAAAATTAATTGTGATCTATAGAGGGAATATGGGTGATTGGTTGTCTTTGTTGTATGAGATCTGTGTGCAATAGTCGCTAAACAGGTAAGTGTTAAAATGAATGGATGGTGAAATGTGGTGAAATAAGTGTTGCTGGATGCAAAGTGTGTCGTTAGATAAATAATAATTAAACAGAGATAGATCATAATGGATAGGTGTGAGGTAGTAAAAAATTGATATAAAAAAATATATAAAAGTGTAAAAATAAAATAAGAAGTGGGGGATATGAAGATCAGTGAACAAATAAGATAAAAAATATATATAAAATAGAGATCATGTGAAAAAGACCTTAAAAGTTCAATGTAAAAAAGTGAGCAATCAATCAAAATTCAAAAAATTTTAGTGATAAAGAGGAGACATAATGTTGAATAAATGCTGAAAATAATTGAATAGTATGGATAGTGTGAGGTATATATTAACTGTATAAAAGCTAATCTGAAAACGGTGATACCACTAGAAAAGTGGGAAAGTAAGTGCTTGTTAACAGTGAAAAAATAGGTGATCAATGATTGAAAGTTTTGGTGGTGTAATAAATTAGAAATGGTGACAATTCATATGATCCCAGTACCTCATGAGACGTGATGTTGTGCTGCTCCTCTCCCAGGTGCCGTACAAGAAATGACCGCAATCGCGGTTATTTTATATGCTACCCCTGAACGTCACATGACGCGGCTCCGCCCCCAAATGGGGCGGAGTCACGGCATGCAACGTGGGGAGCAACAGAAGACCGCAGATCGCCGTGATAGACGTCACGTAGTGCGGCCTCGCCCCCAAAGGGGCGGAGCCTCAGCCAGCAGCGTAAGGAAAGTAGAAGCTACGTCACATAGTGCGGCCTCGCCCCCAAAGGGGCGGAGCCTCAGCCCGCAGCATAAAGAAGGTAGAGGCTACGGAAGCCGTGATAGGCGCATCCTCTCCAGAGATCAGGGGACCATATATCGGCCCTAGTTACTGGATAGCAGGTCGTCTGGCACGTCCCCACGACCCTCCTGTATATGGACATCAAAGTGGCAGTCCAAGTCCCGGCAAGAATCACAAATTCGAAAAGAGAAAAAAATAGAAATAAACATGGAGTAATTAGAGATGAAAGAGGTTAATAGCCGAGGTGGAAGAATTTTGACATGAGGGGAGATGCAGTCCCGTGATTAGACCCATGAGGTATATATTTAAAAAAAAACTGAAAATACCAGGGCATATATGTTACAGGCATCTCCATCTAGAAGGGAATGCCATTATATACTTGTAGATACGGTAGTTTAATTACAAACTGTATCTACTCGCATCAAAGTCTGAGTGTGTCATATATAAAAAGGGATCCGATACATTACTATATATTAGAGAAGAAATATATTAGTAGTAGTATCCCATAATAGACTCAATTATATTGCATATTAATGGTAATGTCCCATAAAAGATTAAAATAAATTGCATAAATACATACATGATTACATCATTGTTACATTACAAAGCTGAAGAACTGTATGAGTGAGCTGCTGCTCGTCGCTTGATTGCTGTGGTGTGCTCCTTTGACGCGACCCTCCTGCTCTGGTAGTATATGCCTGACAGAATCATCTTTTATCCGAACTCGAACTGAATTAAACAGTTGTTTCTTTACCTATTTACATTCCTCTGCCTCTGATTGGTTATTTGAGAAATTCCAAACACCCAAGCATGGAATACTATTTTAATTAATATGATTGAAACCAAGGATTTGAATGATTACCATGTTGCATGATGAGATGCAGTCCCCTAATTTTATTACATGTAGGTCTCTGCCTTCCACTTAGGATATACATCTCTTCTCGTTTCCACTGAAGAAGCCCGGATGGGCGAAACATGTTGGGATATATAAGAGTATATATGTAGCCTTTGGAAACCAACCGTGTGACCCAGAATTGTGTGGCATCGTTACCATGTGGTGAATGTACCAATATTCATTTTTATATTCTTTAATCATGTCAATGATAATATATTAAATAAATGCTTTTCTAAATTTTTAATTGGTGAGGCCTGGCATTGAGGCATTTGCACATCCCATTGTGGAAATATCTCCTTTCTTTTCGTTATACTACATATTGGGGTGTGAAACGTCCATCTCCTCTACGTCCATTTGCAATACATGCCCGCTAATGTGGATTTAGAACATTCTAGGTTTAGTTTAAAGTCTCAAAATTCAAAGACAGATGACAGTTAAAGTACAGCAGCCACCATGTTACATTGTTGCTTTCCATATTTACCTGTGTACAGCAGAAAGTGGTCTTCCTGTAGCCCTTTGCCTTTTGTTAATGTATTGTGTGACACATGCTAACAGCTCCATATTTACAAGAGCTAAATATTACTAAATTGCAAAACTATACAGCAGAAGCAAAGGTTCAGCATGTTTTCTTAATAAACACTTGGTGAGGGACACTTTATTTTAAGATACTGAGATAGTAAGCAACTAATAATAGCATGCTTTCTTTTATGTACACAGCAAGCATGCGTTCATCAAAATAGCTTTTAATAGTTTTAAAGTGACATTTTCTATAGACTAATGGTAAATAACTTGTCCTTGTGCAGAAATCTGCTATCTTTGCAAAATCATCTAGCCGAGGTGGAAGAATTTTGACATGAGGGGAGATGCAGTCCCGTGATTAGACCCATGAGGTATATATTTAAAAAAAAACTGAAAATACCAGGGCATATATGTTACAGGCATCTCCATCTAGAAGGGAATGCCATTATATACTTGTAGATACGGTAGTTTAATTACAAACTGTATCTACTCGCATCAAAGTCTGAGTGTGTCATATATAAAAAGGGATCCGATACATTACTATATATTAGAGAAGAAATATATTAGTAGTAGTATCCCATAATAGACTCAATTATATTGCATATTAATGGTAATGTCCCATAAAAGATTAAAATAAATTGCATAAATACATACATGATTACATCATTGTTACATTACAAAGCTGAAGAACTGTATGAGTGAGCTGCTGCTCGTCGCTTGATTGCTGTGGGGTGCTCCTTTGACGCGACCCTCCTGCTCTGGTAGTATATGCCTGACAGAATCATCTTTTATCCGAACTCGAACTGAATTAAACAGTTGTTTCTTTACCTATTTACATTCCTCTGCCTCTGATTGGTTATTTGAGAAATTCCAAACACCCAAGCATGGAATACTATTTTAATTAATATGATTGAAACCAAGGATTTGAATGATTACCATGTTGCATGATGAGATGCAGTCCCCTAATTTTATTACATGTAGGTCTCTGCCTTCCACTTAGGATATACATCTCTTCTCGTTTCCCCTGAAGAAGCCCGGATGGGCGAAACATGTTGGGATATATAAGAGTATATATGTAGCCTTTGGAAACCAACCGTGTGACCCAGAATTGTGTGGCATCGTTACCATGTGGTGAATGTACCAATATTCATTTTTATATTCTTTAATCATGTCAATGATAATATATTAAATAAATGCTTTTCTAAATTTTTAATTGGTGAGGCCTGGCAATGTTTCCTTTAAGGCCCCTTTCCCTATGGGCATTTGCACATCCCATTGTGGAAATATCTCCTTTCTTTTCGTTAAACCTAGAATGTTGCTTGCTGAAACAATTTATGGTATTCTGCAGAGTCATATTGTGGTGCCATTAGAAAGACTGCTTTACTTTTAAACTACAATGAGGGGAATTTATCAAATCTGGAGCAGTTGCCCTGGGCAACAAATCAGCTTCTCTCTTCAGTTTGCTCAGTTAAGATTTGAAAATGAAAGAGAGAAGCTGATGGTTGCTGTGCACAGCTGCTCCAGATTTTATCTGCTCCAGTTTGGATAAATGTAGTTAATAGGATTTATATATTGAGCCACTCACTGTACGCCATGTGGCCAATTTGCTTTAATTTGTCTTTCTCTTTTTGCCTTTGTACAGGAAGTTTGCTGTTTCTACAAAAATACCAGATACAAAATATTGTCAAAAGTGCTGTGTTGGTAAGTATTTTCTTTGTAAAACACATTTATTACATATTATTGGGAAAGACATATACAGCAAGTATATAACCTTTCTGCTGTGTATGGTAATCACAGTGGGAATTCTAACATTTAAGCAGATTTTAATGTATTATAACCCATACAGCAATGTATTTTAACATACAGCAATGTTGTGTTAAACAAGGGCATGTGTCCTGGTATGGTGTGGGGGGCGCACTTGTTTCATTATTGCTGAATTGTTTATTTTTTTTATTCATGATCGCTGCATTAAAGAGATTTTTTTTTATTACTCCTCTCTTTTGTTTCTACTTGCCTCCCTCGCGCTCGCCCCCCCCCTTTCCTGCTCTGCTAGGCTGCTGCTCGGATTAAGGGTCAGGTATGGGCTTTATTTATTTTCTTTTTGAGGGGGGGGGTTGAGCATTGGGGTCCCCCTTAAAATTTCTACCAGATCTAAAGGGTCTGGTATGACTTTAGAGGGGAACCCCGTGCTTTTTTTTTTTCTGGACATCGTGGCCCCCCCTAACATGGGTCTGGTATGAATTAGGGAGGGGACTACAGGCTTTTTTTAAACTTTATTTTGTAATATTTTTTTTCGCTCCGTTTCGGTGGACCATTCTCCCTGCTTCGCCTGTTTGTTCAGCTTTGCCGACCCGAAGCATGTTCGTTTGGCTCAGTTGAATTCAGTTGTTTACTTTGGCTGCTGTACGCGCTTTTGAGAATAGCGTGTACAACAACCATTTGGTTTGGCTGAACCGAAGGGTTTCTGCAGCTAAAGCGAGCCTAACTTTTGCCTAAATCCTTCGGCTCCTTAGTGAATAACCTCCTGCACTTTACTAGAAGTCACCACCAGGCCCATAAATTGCAAGCCATGATTATTGAATAAGTGAGAAAAAAAAAACCTTGCGGGGGAAAGGTTTGATTATTGAGACAATCTACTCCTGATTTTGGAAGCATTCTTAGCTTTTACATTTGACAAGGTTAGCCCTAGGGATTTAAATACAGCGTTGTCTTACACATTTCTTGAATAAAAGATGATCAACACAAATATGTTTTATTTTTTATTAAGCGTATTTATTTGGTTTAGGCTTCCTCCCCTTTTTTGGTCAGTTTTGGGAGGGTACTGGTGGCAATGGGGCATACTTATGAAAATTAATGGCTTTTGCTCTGGATTATGATTTATTGCAATGACCTGCATATTGAATTTTTATTACTCCTTTCTTTTGTTTACACTTAACTCCCTCTCCATTTCCTTTCCTTTCATTACCCTTTGTGTAAAGTTATTGCTAAATTTTGTTAGGGTGGCGGTTTCTGTGTTTTACCCCAGTGGGGTGCAGAATGTGTAGTGGATTCTTTTTGGGAACTTTTGCCACCCTCTCTGTTTTAGGCATGTAACATTTGCAGTGTGTCAGGCACTTAAACTCAGGGCACTAGGCTTGTTAGAGCATGTAGAGGGGTTGGTCGTAGGGTGGCAAGTGCCGCAGTCTCCTGCTAGTGATGTGAGAGCTACGGGCGTCAGCTGCACTTTGCCATGTGAGCAGTGGTTGCGATAGAGGAAGCTAGGGATGCCCATGGGCAGGGCTGATGCAGTGACCACCATCTTTGCTCTTGCCACCTCTTCCATGTTTTCAGCAAACTTCAACAAAGTATTCAAAATTATAATCATTATGATTGTGTTCATGTGCCAAAATTAATTTAATTAGATGAAATAAGGGGACTGTGTATGAAAATGGTTGCAATTCCTAAATATTTCATATGATATTTTTGTTCAACCCCTTGAATCAAAGATGAAAGTCTGCACTTGAATTGCATCTCGGTTGTTTCATTTGAAATCCATTGCGGTGGCGTACAGAGCCAGAATTATGACAATTCTGTCAGTGTCCAATTATTTCCAGACCTAACTAGATATATAGCCTCGCATGCATCAGCAACCCAGGCCACACATATATATTTCCATCAAAGAACAAGACATAAAAACTCAAAGTGTAAATATTGAAAGAATAAGTAAAGTACACTCACATCTAGTTTTGCTGCATCCAGAAATGGTAAAATATGCTTGGACCCAACTCTCTGCTACGTCCGATCATGCAGTATGTCTCATCGGAAATTATATCAACAAGCTTCACTCATTGTGCTTTGTCATCAGACTTTCGCTCTTGAGGTAGTCTGTTGATGATGACTATTGAGGTAATTTTCGCTGTCTGGTTAATGAATATGTATATTTTCATAAATGCAAACATGGCTTTAAAGGGGACCAATGCATTGTATACAGCAGGGGTAGGCAGCTTCGGCACTCCAGCTGTTTTGGAACAGGCATGGCTCCCGGGGCAGAGGCATTATGGGATTTGTAGTTTCAGCACAGTTGGAGTACTAAGGTTTGCCTACCCTCTAAAGCCTGGATACAAGCTGCAAATAGCATGATTTTGCACTTCCATGTGGAGAAACTATCATCTGCAAAAACATTTGTATCTTTGCCAATCATCTATTTGACCTTTAAGTTCACATGTTGCTATCATTCTTACCATGTTAGTGTTCCAGTTGGGAATTAAACCATTTGAATAGTTTCAGATGTTGTATGTGGTATGACAGCCAGTACATCCATCACAGTGGTAATGTGGTAAATTACACTGGGAGAGCCAGTTCTGGAAGAGACAGAATGCTTGATGGCATATAACAGGCTGCTGCCCAATAGAGGAGTCTAATTCGACAAAGGTAGGGTTTTCCCAAAAATGGGAAGTTGGAACACAGGGCACCTGAGGAAGGTCAATTCACACTATTGCGCTGTGCTTTATGCACGTTCTTGGGTTGGTGTGGCATTCATTCTTAATAGCACTACATTGCACTCTGCCAACAGATGTTATGGTGCGCTGCCAAAAATGCTATATGCATTTTTTTTTTTAAATATCAGTATGATTCTGGTGCCTGTCCATTTAGGGCCCATTCACACCATGGCAGTGCATTTGCATTGCGTATGAATGGGCCCCAAATGATGAGCACCCGAATCAGACTGATGTTTCACCTCCAGACTGCTAAGAGGCATAAGTAGTCTCTATGCATACAGACCTGACCTGGACAAGTGTATGTGTGGGTGAGAGCAGTCTGAAGGTTTAGCCTGAAAGCAACCAGTCCAGCAGGGAAGGCTGGAACTGGGGCAGGCAGAGCTGTAATAAATAGCCAGGAGAGTAAAAAAATTGTTTCTATTTCATTATGAACTACCCCTGTGAGGGTAGAACCCTGTGTTATCCTTTTTGAGTTGTGAATAAAAGTGGGCAATAAAGCTCTAAAACTCACTTTGATGCGTGGATGGAGTCCCAAAAAGCTCTTCATTTGAAGTTGATCCTTACAGTGGCACAACGGCTGACATTTTGTTTTAAGTATGCATACCTATGTTAACCATTAGTGAACATTGAGATGAATTATCAGAAAATGGAGAATTTTTTTTTATTTTTTCCCCTTATAGTCTAATCCTGTCTTTTTCTAACCGATATTAGATTAATGGCATATGATGGGTTGCTTTAGATAACACCCTATGCTTGCTACTGTTTTCTATAAACCATTGCTAGGTTTTAGACTGTTATCTCATACAGTGTTTGTTTATTGTCTAGTGAGAAATCCATATACAAGTCATAAATATCTATGTGGAGCCCTGCAGTCCAGTATTATACTCTTAGAATGGGTGGAACAAATGCAGAAATTCATGTTAATCAAGGTAAGGTTTAATTTTGTGCCTGTTTTGCCTATATATATTTCTATTATAGTAGATTATAGCTTTCATACTATGCTCCAAGCATTGCACCTTTTAAAACAATGACCCTTATTTTTTGAACATATATATATATATAATTATTTAAGTGATACGCACTATACAGAAAACAACTTGTAGAGAGAGAAAAAAATCTGTCACAATATTATAAAGAGAAATCTGTTTTACCACTGAAAATAAAAGATGATTCTGACGGTTTTTCACTGAAATAAAGGATTGTTTTTAAAAGCATGAATCTATTTCTTTATTATAACAGAACACCTTGAGGCACTGATGAAGGATAAGAATTGGATTACTAAGTGTAATGCACTAAGTGTAATACACTGCTCAGATTTTGTTTGAGCTGTGGGTGACCCTGTCAGCACCACGTGGGGCTGAAAGGGAGAAATCTAAAGGTGTATGGCTAGCTTTTATGGTAGATGGATCCTGTATAGGAAAGGTAAACTCAGCTACACATATTTCGCTCCCTTACATAGCCTGAGATGATGGTGGTTCAAGGTCATGCCTGTGAGTTTTTTACACGGTAAGTTTGCAGTAGTGGGCAAGTCCAGAAATTGTGGAGTCAGGTTCTGCTGGACTGTTTGCATCTCCAAAGCTTTGGAGAAACTGTGGAAAATATTTTAAGATCGTAGGAACCCTATACCATCTGGTCAACAGTTAATATCCAGATTCCTGCAGTCTGCTGGGTATCGATGACCTGTCTGCAAAATAGATTATGTAGCCCTTCTGTTTCTGTGTGAACGTTAGGTTAAGGTCTTCCCATTTTTGGAGAATAAAAAGAGAGTACTTAACAGTCCTGGGTTTAGAGATTCTGACAGAGTCCAGTTCCATGCACACTCTGTCAGAGTCTGAATTGCTCATCTCCAAGCAAGGCTTGCAGAGATTCTTTCTTGATGTGAAAGGTGAACTATTCTTGGAGCTTTTGTGTTGGGATCTTCTTGATGTTGCGGGAGTCCCTCCTCTTGCTGTTAAAATAAAAGCCCCCAGAGGCCTCTGCAGCATCTTTTTGTCAGCCCTCTAGGGGGTGTCACGGAGCCGGCCCATAAGGCAGGGCTGGGGAGGGAGAGCAGGAGGGCTAAGCCTTTACGATGCCCTTCTCTGCTTCTCTCAAACTGTCAATGTTCATTTTAATAATCATATTTCTCTAGGATCATAAACTAGTCCTAAATAGGCTATGGATTAAATTAGCCTCTAATCATAAATTAGCCTCACACTACATTTGGTTGGTGTATGACCTATGGCTGGCCCAGGAGGGTTAATGTGGCTTGTCAGGATTCCGACCATCACAACCCATCATTGATATGTACAGCTTCGTCTTGACGAGACACAGCTATTTGTGCAATTAATTTTACAATATCACTCTCCAATACCAAGTTGTGAAATTGGGTTGATATTGCAACTCAGTTGTATGACTCAGTGGGATGCGAGGTCACCAGGGTCATTATCCTTGCCAAAACCCTCTTGTGTTTACTTAACTACCTCCGGTCGGGCGTTTTTAACCGTCCGCTCAGACGCCCCCTCGCGGGAAATGGCCGATATTCAAAAACAGGCAGCGATGCCTGTTACCATACAAGCGATCCGCGTGTATGGGGTGCCGATCGCTCCCCCTCCGCGGTGTCCGTGATAGCAATAAAGTTTAGTGGGGAAAAAATTTAAGTTACCCCCCCAAAAAAAACCATTTAAAGTTACACAGATAGAGAATTAAAAAAAGAGAATAAAAAAACAAAAACTAATTTTAAAGTCCCCACAGGGTCCGCACAGGGATCCTTCATCAGAGCGACATACTGTCCTCACTGTCGCTCTGATGAAGGATCCCTGTGCGGACCCGAAACGTTAGCACCGTATGACAGTATGTGACATTGGGTATTGAATAAACATATCAATACTTTAAACACCCTTCAAGTGTGTGCCGGTGAATTACTTTTATTTACTATTAGTGTTTTGCACGGCGCCATCCGTGTGGTCACCTGGGCACCACATATACCTTGTGGTTTTGAGACCGTGGCAGTGCGAATGTGATTTGGACTTTGGTTATGTATTTGTCTTTTTTTTTTAAATACTCTGTTAAAGAACACCTTTACTCCTAGAATGTAGGTTGCCATTTCTAGTTGCAGCATGCTAGTTGCCTGGCTGTCATGCCCATCCAAAGACATTCTTGAGTCAAAGATCCAGAAGTATGAAAATCAGAACTGACTTATCCTGTGTGACAGTCTAAATAGGTCCCTAATCCACAATGCGCAAGCCTAATAAAGCAAAAATAAAAATTATTTATTTTTTGTCCATCAAATGACATATTCTTTCATATTCATAAACTGCATTATGCTGCCACTGACAGAAAACTGAAGGCCAGCCACTTGGGGTCATTGCTCCTCCTAAAATTATCCTGCTCTGAGAGACACAAAACATGTATTTCTTTTTTTCTCCCTTTTTATTACTTTTACTAAGACTTTTCTAGCAAGATTGCCAGCTGTAACATAGCCACTGTGGCTTCTATTATGCACCTTTTCTGGATCAGTTAACTCATTGGCAGAGTCTTGAGGGAAAATACTATGACCCCACTGGACAGAAGATGTGGGGCTGGCCTGTAATGTTGCTTTTAGGCACTGGATGCTGCTTCAGGTGCTCACCTTGGCACATGCAAGATGCTGAGTTAGCCACAGGGTACTATACAGGTCCAGCACTGTGTCACTACTACCTAGTCTGACCTAGTCCCTAAAGACCATTTAGTTGGTGAGCCCACTGGGAGGGTGAAGATCTGGATGGGATTGGCCCCTTTAGATGAGATTGGCCTTAGTGTGCTGTTGTGCTCTGGTCCCTTTGAGGTTAATTTTGGACTCATTCAGTTAAAGCCAGCAGTGGGGGGCCAGTCATGCATGTTTTTGAATTTGGCTCACTTTCACAGCTCTCCTTTTTACCTGAGTTACTAGGGTGTCTTTGCAGCCTCCATAGTGCCCAGCTGTACGGCTCGTATGCTCACAGTTTTTATTCTCCCTACGCACTGACCAGCTGCTCCTCCGCTCCCTAACTGCAGTATTCAAATAACACAGCAACCCTTGGCCATACTGTGCTCCTCTGCCTTCAATGACTGGCACACCCTTGCTAGCTCTGCAGTGACGGTTTACTAGTACCCCCAGGGGGACAACGAGGTCTACAGACTTAGACACCTCACAATCAAACAGCTAAGGGCTGCAACAGATTTAGGGTATCTTTGTTTTTTCAGGCAGAGAGCACCTCAAAGTACAAGATCCCTTTTACCCACCTGTGAAGGTGCCAGCCACCCTGCCATGGTTTCGGGGCTCTCCCAATCTGGAGACCTGGGGCTACAGCAAAGGCATTCAGGATGAAGAGCAGGAGCAAACTGAAGCAGAGGAAAGTCCAATCTGCTCTGTGATCACAGAAGCAGGAAGCGCTGTGCTCTCAGCACTTCCTGCTTCAGAGCTGTCAGAAGCCCTGCTGATGTGCTCTCTGTATTAGAGGGTAGGAGAGACATTAGCAGTTTAATAGACCCCCGATGTCTCCAGAAAGAGAACCTGTCCCATCCCAATGCTTTCACATAGGGGCTTGTTAGCCCCTTTGTGATAGCAATTGTCCACTGCTTAGTTGTAACACTTGATAGGCTACAGGCTTGTAAATCAGTCAAATGCGGTCAGGATGGAGTGCAGTAGCAGACCGAGGAACATCCAAAGTCCAATCTGCTCTGTGATCACAGAAGCAGGAAGCGCTGTGCTCTCAGCACTTCCTGCTTCAGAGCTGTCAGAAGCCCTGCTGATGTGCTCTCTGTATTAGAGGGTAGGAGAGACATTAGCAGTTTAATAGACCCCCGATGTCTCCAGAAAGAGAACCTGTCCCATCCCAATGCTTTCACATAGGGGCTTGTTAGCCCCTTTGTGATAGCAATTGTCCACTGCTTAGTTGTAACACTTGATAGGCTACAGGCTTGTAAATCAGCAGTGAACATGCTTATAGTCACCCCCTGCCATATCTTCCCATCTCACTGCAAGTAGGTACAGCCTACATGAGGATGATAATGCTGCCCTGAATTCAGGACCAGTGCAGCAGCATTGTTACCCCACCAGAGTAGCCTGTATGAGGTGGACTTCACTGGCAGGATCAATAGTGTCGTAGCAATTAAACTAGTATCTTGAAGGGACAAAAACTCAGAATAACACACAGTATGAGTTTTAAAGCTGGTTTCCCATATTATTGACAAACTTTCAGCTTATATGTATTTGCATAGAATAGTGTGTACATAAGATAAGGTAAAACTAGGTTTAACTGGGGTTGTTTTTCATTGAAAACTGCTGAGCATATGGTTTATTCAGTTTCAAAACATCACTCTGGTTAGGAAGATTCCCATAAAACTTAATTCCCATCACAGCCCACCCTTGTTTGTTATTTGCAGGCATCCAAACAAAGTTCAGAAGTATAAATTCCAATCAAAAGTAAGTTCTGAAGTATATCTCAATATGAACGGTTGATCAGTCCACAGAAAATCAAGGGATTATAACAGTCTTGAAATGAATAATCCATTCCTCCAGGTTTGATGGAATTAGAAGGCGAGAGAGAAAGGAAAAAAAAAGGGGGGGGGTGGGGAAAAGGCAAGGGGGGGGTTAATAGGATGCCCCCCCCTATGAATCACATCACTCCTGACGCTCTATCAGCCATTCACTCTATCCAAAAATGCTTAATAAGTGGAAATTTCAGGAGAGGAAACAAACTCTACAATCTTAATATTGTTAACCCTGTCAAACCACTGTTTCACTGTAGGGGGATCCGACCTCCTCCACTTGGTAGGTATGCATGCGCTAGCCACAATCACTTAATGTCTGACTACAAAACGCTTATATGTGTGTCAGGCAATATGCTGCAGTACCTTTCTACCTTTACTCACTCTTAATATAAAAATAATAAATTTCTTCCCTTTCCTGGACTTGACTACAATTTAG